TAGAGATGATCTTTGTTTGTCTATATTAGTTTTCGAACAAAAGAGATGTTATAATCAAGTGTCGTGCACATTATCGTGCTTACTAGAGCTACATAAATAATCTTTTAACTCCAACTTCAAATACGCCAAAAATTGGTAACACACTAACAAAGTTCAACAGACATTTCCAAATTTCTGATCTGAAGAGAGACAGTTTGACAAAAAGTGCTTGATATAAATAATGTTACCGATTATAATCTTTGTTTAATTTAGTCTGACTTATTAATATTAAAGTAATAATAAATCCATGCGCACGTTCTATGAAGAATTATAGATCCGAAATGTAATGCATATTTGTTTTATTTTGGAATAATTAACCGAATGACAAAAAACATTAGAATTATGAACAAATTAATAAACCTGCAGTTGGTCACAATGTTTAATCAGAAAACTTGCAAGTTTTTTGCGGTAAAATTATTCATGTCACAAATTAATTGCATTTTTAGTTTGGTGTGAAAATCAGACAGAGCATCAAAACGGAAATTCAGTGATCCATTCATCAAGAAAAATATATCATTTTTTGATGCAACGTTGGAAATGTGATTGATTGGGCCTAGAGTTTTGATCGTCAACAATGCATGTGACGATTGTAACCGTCATTATCGAGAGAGTTTCGGTATGATTCTTAATAAATATGTAATCATTATTTAATTAGGCATTGCCATTTCTTTCTACTTAATGCGACCTCCCAGCTCTAATTGTATATCGTTGATTCCAGAAAGTGAGTGTCCCAAGCAGCATGCTGTCAGATCCGATCTTGCCTAAAATATGAACAATGACGGTAGTACTAATAACGGATTGTACTATAAACTCCATTGATTAAGTTTGGAAGTAATTACCAAAATAATTACTCTCATATTTAGTAAAATGTTACAATCTTTGGTTTCACTTCGAGTCCATATGGAACGAACCTTTGATTGCCTGGCAAAAATATTGTGTGATCGAATTAGACAACGTCCTTTTAAAAATCAATAATTTGGTCCGCTGGGTGATTCTAAATTTGGAGCGGGTGTAAATTAATAGTAGGCGGTTTTACTTTTTCCGTGCTTTTCAAATTAATCTAAAAGAGAAATAAGAAAACCATTACTTTTTATTCTTTGATCTTAGAGGCGATTTTGATATACATGATCATCCTTTCTGGTTTCATCTTACTGTATAAAACGAACACTTCAAGTCAAGTAACAAAGTATCATTTCCCCAAGTTTATATACTTTTTTTTAGTAAAAAACATGTCGTTTTTTTTCGAATTATTAGATTCAAGTTTTAGAACTTTGCAAATCAACACAACGTTTGGACAATGCTGGGGAAGACAAAGAACAAATACAAGAAGTCGAGCCATTATTACAAATCCCCGACCTGACGCACGCACTGCGATTAACCAACTAATCGAATCTGTTCAAGTTTTTGACGATGAAAAACAGGAAGACAATTGCTCTCGTCTCGAATGGGTTTTTTATTCGGAATTTACGGATGTGGAGTTGGTTCAAAATTCTGCAGATCAGACTATCTATTACGCCATCCACGAACCACAACAAGAGTCAGTGATGTTGTTATTACTTGGAAACGACAATGAATGTACACAGGAGTTTATCCACGAGTTCTCTAGAGTTTACTCGCTTCCGACTTATAAATATAAAAGCGCATACAAGTTCGATCAGTTTGAAAGATATCCAGAATGGCTTACGTGCCGCAATAACATGATAATTGGGTTTACTTGCGATGATAAGAATAATTACTTTTTGGTAGCAAAGAGACCATTTTATTACTGTTATTCACGATATGGATTTTGCTCTGCTTGTGGAATACTCAGATGTAGTCCTGTGTGGTGCATTTGTGGCCAAAAAGAATTAGCATACGGTTGGGCTAGCTACAACAAGATCGTCGACGAACTTATTAGAGGATTCCAAGGAAGACATAAGACGACAAATAAAGTCCGTTATCTAGAATGGATTCCATTTGATTGTATTAAAATTATCGAATCAAATGACAAAACCTATGCAGAATTGTACGGTTTGCCTACTCATGAAAGGGCAGAACTTGTTTCGTTCGAGTTAACAGATAATATGAATTATTCAGACTATCATAAAGTAAGTTTGTTTAATAACGCTTGTCAGTTATTATTATTGCGTTGAATACTGATTTCGATAATAACGTATAATTTTTGTAGCTATGTATTAGCCACAGCATGAATAACACGAGGACTACCATTGGATACACATTTCATCCACAATGGCAAAAATATGCCCAAATCAAGTATATATGCAAGGATGGGTCATGTCTGGCATGTAAAAGTGATTTTCGACCTGGTATCAATGCATTTTGTTATGTCTGTAAAGCACCAAGACCTCTTGACTGGACTACGGGTAACAAGTCTTTAGACTCGGTTATAATGAAGTCATGGCATAATACCAAACATCCAATTGATAGCTATTTACAATGGATAAAATTTTCTCAACTGACGAATATACAAGAAGCATTATCATTAAACCATGGATGCACATATACAGCTGATTGGTTAGAATCAACAAATGAAAATACGTTGAGAAGAGTAATGCTCAAAAAAATAGTTGACGGAAAATGCGCTCAATCGTTTGATTTTTATCAGGTAATGTGTACTCTTTCGTGCATTGGATAAGTTACGCTAACCGAATAATTTGCTGAAACACGAAAACTATTTTAAAATAGTTAACTACAGAATACCCAAACATATTAAGCCCAGATAATATTTGGATTATTGGTGTCACCCAAGAACAGTTTACTCAAGATTATTATCTAGTGTTTTATTATGACACTCGTTCAATCTTAAGCAAAGTAATGCAAGTCAAAAACTTAAATAGCACTGAAACTGACACGTTGGAATTTATAAAATTTGAAAAGTTTGATGAAATCAAAGAGATTGGGTCGGGTGGTTATGGAACAGTCTATACTGCCAAATGTAAAGTAGATAAACACCCACTTATCAAGCAAGAGCATGTAGCTCTAAAATGCTTTAAACGGTCTGGCCAAGGGCCGGAGCTGGTTATTGCTGAGGTAAGCAAATATTGTTATATCATCGTTATAGATACTTAATAGTGAATTAAATAACTTTTTTTATATAGTTTTTAAACCATGTCAAATGTGTTGGAGCTGGATATGGATTTCTCGAAATTTACGGAGTTACGCAACATCCGATGACCAAAGACTACATGATTGTAATGCAGTATGCCAATTATGGTAATCTCTTGTCTTATCTCGAACAGAACATAAACAAACTGACGTGGAAGATGAAATTAGGATGTTTGAAGGATATTGCATTCCGTCTGCAAATTATTCACGAAAGCAATTTAATACATTGTGATCTCCATGGTGGAAATATAATTTTGAGCAAAGCAGAAAACCGGGATCTTTTGACCAAGCCATTCATATGCGATCTTGGATTGTCTAGATCAGTGCATTTGTTAAAGTCAGATGTCCCAACAGTTCAAGGCGTTTTACCTTATATCGCACCAGAAGTCTTGCATACTCATAGATTTACTCAGGCATCGGATATATATGCTTTTGGCATCATTATGTATCAGATCGCTACCGGTGAACCACCTTTCAGAGATTGGTCGTTTGACAAGTGTCTGGCGATGCGCATTTGTGAGGGACTGCGACCAGTAATGCCAAACGAGGCACCAGAGGCTTACCAAAAACTTGCTGAAAAGTGTTGCAATGCTGATCCAAACGAGCGTCCCAGTGCTCCTGAACTCTTTGACGAGATTTGGAAGCTTTTGAGGGCTGATGATAATTTATGGAATACCGTTTACTACAACAAAAACATAAGACCGTTGTCACGCATCGAGAAAGAAAGCAAATATTCTAGTAAATTATTACCTACTGGAAATTTACCCAGACCCAGAAACAGTTGGGCTCTCAGTTCTGCTGCAGGTACTAATAATAAATTTGCATGTTTGCAGTTTACAATTAAGTCAGCGTTATTAATCTTATTATCGTTTACTTCTCATAACCAGCGACTCAAGATCTTGAAAAATTGTATGCTACATAAATGCTTGTTACAAATTCGTAACTTTTAGTTTTTCTTTTATTGTCTATTATTTGTTTTAATACTGTTTATAGTTTTAGATTGTATTCATTTCAATGTTTTTTTTTGTATCCTTGTCATCATATTTGCAAATTTAGAATAAATTTTCAACAAAATAATATGTCTAGCACGTAGTTGTCGATCGAAACACTATAATGTTCTCTCAGTAAACAAAGACATTTCATGTGACGCGCGTATATGACTTGTAGCGATAGACTGTTGTACAAAATTTGCATAACCATAAAGGTAACTAATTAAGAGACAGAGTTACGACAATGTCCACAACGCTATTCATGGTGGTAGCAAATTTTACATTGTATTATCGACGAAATATGCTACGACAAACACGAGCAATAATAACTTTACAGAGTTTTAAATTTGCCCGACCCATTAATTGTTTGCATCATACTTTTATTCGTTTTTAAAGCAATTTGTAATTTATATTTGTCTGCCTTTATTACCAAACCGATCCACAGCCACTGCAAAATTAACTTGATTTTTCAGAAGCATAATTTTATAATAAAGTGCTGTCATTCTTGAATACAATATTCGGATTGAACCAATTGGGTTTATTTTAATTAAGACTAGTTGCTATGAACAATTACGCGTGTAACAAAGGAGTTTTATGTTCGATCTTACTGATCTTAATTGTTGGCGATATTACATTCATGTTTTCGTTCTGTTTCGTTGAACGATGCTATCGGGATGTAAATGTGCTCTAACAAGGAGTTATTTGCTATCAGCAAACTCCGCTCACGTATTTTTACTTATAAAACTTGGATGGACGTTCATGGTCTGGCAAACTTCAAGACTTTTGACACGTTTGTGTAACACTAATTTCCAAATCAAGTCATAGTCTAGAATGCCTCGCAAAAGTCGTTCTCCCTATTCGTCTGCTATGTCTTCGGCAAGACCTTCCCGTCATCACCACGGGATTCGATATGCCTCGGCTGATCATGATAGACTGAAGCGCGCTTTGTTGCAGCCCGTTCAAGCATGGTAGGTAACGCGGCATATAAGTATAATCGCAAAAGACGAAAGGACAGATCAGGGACGTAACGAGTGTCCAACGCTATGTGCTCTTACTAAATTGTTATGAATTCGTAGGGAAAAGAAATGGCAGTATCCAGTTAGCGGTGGGAAGAATTTTATGCTGTATAAATGGGTCAAATGTAAGTTTTTGATATACGACAGCTTTTGAGCGAGTGTAAATTTACAATTGGTTTATTTGCTCAACTTAGGTAACAGAAAAATGACATTTGATGAAGAGGATGACGAAGATGAAGAAAACCAGCAACATCATCAAGCTGAAGTAAGTGGACATTTATGATTCCGCTTTTTCCTCTGTAATTTACTAAATGTCTTGTGCTTTTTCTTCTGCCGTCTATTTCAACTTTCTGAATCTTGCACATTTCAGGACACACCGACCCCAACAGCATTCTCCCTTGCCCCGCCAACAGAAGCCTCAACTCCACTACCATCCGAATCGGACGAAAACCGTCTACTTCGCCCACCTCCACACCTTACATCTGCTAAATCAACCTCCTCACTGCGCGGATCATCTGTTCCTTCTGCTGTGTCCACCCCACTAATAGGCGTTAACACTCCGCAAGAAGCAGAATCATCGGCTGTCGATAGTCCAGACAATGATGAAGATGAGGAAATGGCTGTAGACGAGAGTAGTAGTACGGATGTCATTGAGAGGAAAGAAGGTGTTATCAGCAGTAACACTAGTCATATCGGAGACGTGAAAATTGAGGGTGTGGGAATTGTAAGTGAAGGGAGTACGGAGAAGATAGGAAAGGTGGATAGCAAGGATAAGCAAGACGAAATTAAACAAGGCGAGGACGAGGTCAACGTTGGTGGTATTGATAATATCAACATTGGTGGAATTGATAATATCAACATTGGCGGTATTGATAGTATCAACATTGGCGGTATCGATAATATCGATATTGACGTTATTGATAATACCAACATCAGCAGCATTGATAATACCAACATCAGTAATCCCAACATTAGTAGTATTGGTAATCCCAGCATCAGCGGCATCGACAATATCAACATCGGCAGTATCGATAACGCCGACATTAGCAACATCGATAATATCAACATCAGCAGCAATGATAATCTTGGTGGAAACATTGATAGCGTAGACAACATCTCTATGGCTGTTAATATGGACATCTTTGGTGGTGGACAGGAAACTGGAGGCGAGAAGGAGGACGCAAGCCGAGTGGGAGGATTAAAGGTTGGTGACTTCTGGAATCCAGCCGGAGAATCGACTGCCCAGAGTAGCGAGATTGGTGAACAAAATAGTCCTTATCGGGACGTTGGTGTGTTTGATCAGGGTG